TAAATAAACGCTCCATTTCGTTAGATCCCGATGCGCTCGTGTCACACCACACGCTTCGCACGTTCCATAAGCAATTACTGGATGGCTGTGGGGTCTTATCCCCTCTCTCCTCCTACGGCAATGCTATTTACCACTACATTGTGAAGACGTTTGCGGTTCGCAATGGCTGTCGTCATAGCTCCTCCGACATTGAGGGTTTTGGCCGCACATTATGTAGCCTCTGTGGGGAGGTGAAGGCCGTCCTACAGAGGGAACCACGACATGGAAGTGTTGTTTCCCCATGTTATGTCTTTGGCGACCTACATGGTAACTTTTTGGATCTATTCTACTTTCTCGATAATCTTATCTCGTTTCAGGATCTGCGTTACACCCCGCATCGCTTTCTTTTTCTTGGTGACTACGTGGATCGCGGGGAGTTTAGTGTGGAGGTGTTGGCATACCTCTTCGCCATGAAAGTGCTGGCACCAGAGAAGGTGCTGCTGCTGCGTGGCAATCACGAGGACACACTCGTCAGTGGGGACATCTCCGGATATGGCAACAACAGCTTTCGAGCGCAATGTCAAAACCTTTTTGGCCACGCTCTTGGTGAGGAACTGTGGCACCGTGCAAGTGAGACATTTGCCTATCTCCCACTCACTGCAAACATTGATGGGCGCATCTTCTGCACCCATGGCGGAATCCCACGCTACCGCGGTGGTGTAGATGACAGGCTGCATATATTAAGCCGGAGCGATTTTCCTGCATTTGAGTCTTTCTTTCAAGTTCCCGAAGAGGATACGGCATACATGCGTATGTGTCGGCAGATGGCCATGGACACATGTTGGGCCGATCCCGCTGAGGATGAGAGCACACTTGACAAGTGGGGTTTTGGTGCCAATCCGCGCGGTTCTGGCGTTATTGTCTTTGGCTCCGTTGCCGTGGATCATTTTCTTTTAAATAATAACTTTGAATACATCTTCCGTGCCCACCAAGAGAAGTCAGATGGGCTGAAACTCAGTAAGAGTGCCCGGGTCTTTACAATATTTAGCACCAGCGCGTATGTTGGGCACGAAAACGGTGCCGGTGTTGTACTTGTGGCGGATGGGAAGATTCGACTGATTATTAAAAGCGCCGATGACACCGCTCGTACACCAGTAGTAGCGGAGGAAGAGGAAGACAAGGACGAAGAAGAAGAGGAAAAAGAGGCTGAGATTGAAGCGGAGGAGAGGGAGGAGAAAAAGAATGAAAAAATGCGAAAATCATCACGTCTGGTGAGATAATCTTAGCAGCATCCGTGAGTTAGAGAAGAAGAAGGAGGAGGAAGAAAACGGCAATGGAAGCAAAATTTTGCATGCACAACATTGTGTGTACCGTGGGTGGGTAGAGTAGATGAATCACGGTGAGGTGGTGTAAGTTATTCCTGTGCAAAAAGTACATGGACATTTACAACATACATGGCGGCGGTGGTGGCAGCGCAGAGCATGTGTGGCGGTGATGGTGGAAAGGGAAAGAGAGAGAGAAGCGGAGTGTGCGTAGGAAAGAATTAAAACTAAAGAGGTGGAAAAAAAAAAAAGATGCAAATTGAAGGAATAGAAGTTAAGAGGCATGATGAATTTGCAAAGGCTTCAAGAAAGATAAAAAGAAGGAGGGAGAAAAGGGGGAGAGGAAAAACGTAGGATGCCTTTACGGCCGTCTGATGGATGCCTCTTTGTGACTGTGACTCATTGCCAGCGGAGAAAGAAGGAGGAATACATGCATGCAGAATAAACGAGTAGAGCCATGTTTCCATACACACATATTTATATATAAGCGTACATTGCGGCCGGTTTGATAATGTTGATTGACGGCTGTTTTATATCATCTTATTTTATCCCTGCGAAAGGAACTTCACTTTTCATTGCTGTCGTTGTTGTCTTTGTTGTTGTTGTTCTTCTTCTTTTTTTTCTTTCCTTTTTTTTTTTTTTTTTTGTGTGTGTGTTGCTACAGCCTCCCAGCAATCCTTCAGGCGTCAGTGAGACCCTCACGCACACACACAGATACATATATTTAAAGTACAGGGAACGGAAAAAGAAAAAAAAAAAAAAGGGTTGGGGGGGGAGGAGAAGAGAGAGAAAAAAGAGAGCAGCGACCCGACAGAAACAATCACTGTCTCCATTACACGTGTGAGGTTGACAAAAGGAGGAAAGAACACCGGAAAGAAAAGTGGGCTTTTGACAACATGAGGGTGAGTGAGGATAAGAGGCTACGTGGCCAATCGTTGGTGCCGGGGCAGCGGAATGTGCATCTGGAGCCTGGTCTCACCGTGTCATCCCTTTTCGATACTCATTCCGGTCATAAGGAGAAGGTGGTGCGGGTGTTTGACGAAAAAGGGTGTTTGACAACACGTGAGGTTGGGGTAAAGCGCTTCCAGTTTGCACGACTCTCTATCTTTTACATGATACGCTCATTAACGTGGCCTGTTCTCTGTACGTACTTACTTTTGCTTTATATTGCCATCCTGTTTGCGTTTGCTATGGTTTACTTTATCTGGGGAAACGTGTGTGGGGCGTGGGAGGACGCAAAGTGGGTGACTGCACTTTACTTTACCATTGTGAGCTTGGCAGCGAATGGTGGCTACTTTGGTGAGCCGACGGATACCATGTTGCAACCTGACCACACCTGCTTCACTGGTCGTACTGTCCTAGTGATGCTACTGTCGTATACAAATATCATATTTGTCGGGATTGTGGCGGCACTTGTTGTGGGAAAGGCGGAGTACGGCGGTAGGCTTAGTCAGCGCATTGTGTTCAGTGACTTCTGCTCCCTGACATCTGTTCCAGGACGCCGGGACCGCTGCTGGCGACTCACCTTCCGCATGGCGAACAGCGATAAACAGAAACCGATTGCCCATGGACGACTTCGTCTGTTTATCGTCACTGCAGAGTCACTCAAGGACCGCCGAATGAGCCGTGGGGAGATGAGGAGACAGAGCCTCGCAGAGTTGCCGGAGGAGCAGCGGAGCAGCAAAGGCGGAGGAAAGAGTTGGCGTCAACGACTGCCGCACGAGATGTCAATTGTCAGTATGGAGCAAGAAGAAGGGGGAATTCAGTTGTTACGTGCGAGTGCCTCCTCCTTGATGGAAGACCTGTCGCCGGCGGATACTTCTTTGGCAGTAACGCAGGGGCAGCTGAGCCCAAAGTCCCCACGTGGGAGGCAAAGAAGGGGGAAACGACGTCGTCACGAGGAGCAAAAACCGCCAGGGACGAAGTGTGAATTAGCGACGGGAAGAGGGAAAGAAGGCGACGAGGATCATGCCGCGCAGACGAAAAAGACGTGCATAGGGTCGGCGCCGACATGCGGCAGCACAATCGCGGTGGCAATTTCCGAGCAGGGCCGTGGGATCAGCGATCCTTCACCTTTCGCAGAGGCAGGGATCGAGGCTGCACAACACCAACGACACCAGGAGCGCCTGCCGCTGAAACACCCTGCGAGTTCTCACCCCACTAGCTCTTTTGCTGCTGCTGCTGCCGCTGGTGTTTTTGCTGCCGGAGGAAACCATGAAGATGGTTTTGAACGGGTAAGCATTCACGTAGAGGAGTTGCGCTGGACGAGCAGCAATGAACAGTACTTGGAGGCGCGTCAAGGTCAACTCTCCTTGTGGTTTCCAGTGAGTATCACGCATTTCATTGACCGCCGAAGCCCGCTTTTCCGCTACGTGGACCAGGAGAAGATGGACCCAGCAATGCTTCTGTCACAGTCGCTTTCCTCTGCGTCACCCACGTTGAAGACCACCGGTGAAAAAGGAAATACAATAGGTTCCTTGCGCTCTTTTCAGATTGTGGCGACGTTTGACGCAACGGAAATGGAAAGTGGAGCCACAATCGTGGCAAAACGCACGTACACACTAAATGACATTATCACACATTATCGTTTCTCCAATAAAATGGTGCAAATGCGACCTGGTAGCAATGAGGTGCTGATAGACTACCATTACTTCAATGAGATGATTCCCGTTTCAGGGATGGAGCCCACCTACACCAGCACCTCCGAGAGTGATACAACACTTTAAAACGCGGAAGCAATGTAAAATACATGATTGCCTCTGTTTCGTTTTTCTTGTTTGTTTGTTTGTTTGTTTTTAATGCTTGTACGTATGTGTGTGTGTGTGTGGGAAGGAGGGAGGGAGGGAGATGGAAAGAGAACGGGGAAGCTTTTTTGTTATTGTTGTTGTTGTTGGCTTCCCTTTTGATTTTTGTTTCTACTGCTGCTGGTGGTGGTGGTTTAAACGGTTGGTCTCCGATGGATCGAGGGGAAAAATTGCTTTCTTAGTGGGTTCTTATTTTGAAGGGCAAATTTAGTCATGGAGAAGTACAGAAAGTACGGCGATGCCGCGACGGGTATCAACCCCTTTGTGCTCATGCGGACGCCTACGACATTTTCTGTGGTCGTTGCTGCGGTACTTTTTCCGCTGCGCCTTACGGGGGCGTTGTTATTTTTGACGGCACTCGTCGTGCTGGATGTGGTGGCATATTTCTTTTTCCTTATTCCTGGTATGTCGTGTGTGTCGTGGTGCCTGCTTGCGCCATGCCAGCGGGAGCTTTTGAGGTGCCTGCTCTTTGCTCTTGGCAACGTTGGCATCACGCGGGCGTCGCCGAGGGCGACGGCGGTGGCGAACGCAGCAGGCGGCGATGCAACTCCGGTGGCAGGGGACGTGGTGGTTGTGAACATGCAGTCCGTGTGGGATATGTGCGTGCTTGAGGTGGCAGGGCGGTTGCCGTTGTGCGTGGTTGCTTTCTACATCGGCGGAGCTGCCGGGGCGAACTCGGGAGGGGATGCAAACAAGAAGAAAACGGACCATGACAGTCGTCACGACACGCTCCTTGTGATGGAACCCTCCCCGTTCCAACGTTGGCGTGTGTGGTGGCATATTTACCACACAGGGTCGTTGGAGTTTCTTCGTGCCGCAGCAGGTGGCGATTGTGGTGATTACAAGAGCAATACTGAGCCGGTCCTTCACCTCGCCGCGCTGCAGCAGCGATGTGAGCGCATTGGTGTGCCGATTGTGCTCTTTGCGGAGGGCAGCTGCACCAACGGCAAAGGGATGCTGCGCACATCCCCGCTTTGGGTCCGCACCGCCCCGAGGCGAGTGTTTGTCTGTGCAGTGGATTATGACACCACGGCGGTGCACACGGTGTTACGTCCCCATCGACTTTTGTCGTTTATTTTTTTAATGAGTGCATCACTGCATGGCAGCCGCGATCCGGCGTGGTACAGTCCGCCGTTCCCCACAGCTACGGTAAGGATGGTTGCGTTGCTGGAGAGCTCTCTGAGCAGCGACAGCATACTTGCTACTAAAACTACTGCCGGCGACGGCGCCACTGTTATGTGGGAAGAGGCAAAGGTGCGACAGGCGTTGTGTGCCGCATCCAAGTCGAGGCGTGTGTTGGTGGTTGGGCTTCATGAGAAGTGCGGCTACGCGGAGGCGTGCGTCGGCGTGAAAGCAGGGAGCGTCTCCAATTGACTGGCGAGCACATGTGTTCCACAGACTTGCACCCAGTCACAGGCACACACACAAAAAAAAAAAAAGATGGGAATGAAGAGCAAGAAAACTTGGAACAATGAAAAAAAAAAGCTTTTTGAGGAAAATGAAGGGTATATGTCGTGTTGATTTCATTTAAAAGAACATATATATATATATATACGTCTTTTTGCAATTTAGTTTGTTTGTTTGTTTTACTATTTTATTGTGTATATTTGCCTTTTGGTAATTTTATTTCTTGTTTGTTTGTTTGTTTTCTTTCTTTCTTTTTTTTTTTAATTTTCTAAGGGGGCTTTGCGTTTGTGGACGGCGACGGCACATGTCCCAGCCACACAATGGATACGAGCAGTTGCCATGGTGGAAGCGGATTGCGCTTGATGATGCGTACCGGCGGCGTATTAGGAAGCTCGCGACGCAGCGTTACCGGGAGGAGTTGCACCTGCTGCAGGAATTTCCACGCGAAATTGCGCCCGCCGCCTGGGATGACGGCAGACCCATCCCCCAATCATCGCAGCACATTTGCGTGGAGGATGGGACGCGTGCGTGGGCCACAAAATACCCAGAGAGTATAGTGAAGGTGTCGGGCTTCCAAAAACTGCAAACTGCCGCCGTCGCCACCGTTATTTCAGGCCCCAGAGCGGAAGAACACGAGGCATATATTCTTGAAGAGGTACGGCGGTTGTACAATGAAGAGAAGGCGTCGGAGCGTCTCTATGGGTTGTCTTATTTCTGGAATCGTCAACTTCCACCAAACGGTTTTATTCGTGTGTGGCCCAGCCCTCTATCTGCCATGTGGCCCTCGTTACTCATTTCAGAGCCTTTCACACCCATGTACAAGACACTTTCCGCCCCAGGGAGTAGTGCCGAGTTGCCACCAGGGATGAACCCCACGTGTATGACAGACCCGCTTTGTGTGCATGTTTTTCGCAGAAATGGAGAGTACCTTGGGGCTTGGCGTCAATCTCTATTTCTTATTCGTTACAAAGTTATTTGCTGGGCGTTACATGAGGAGGAACGTCGGCGCACATGCGGTGCCGTGGGTCGTCCCGTTCTTGCATCCGATAAGGCATTCCCAGATGTCGCTACTACGCAAATGTTAAAAAATGTTCCGGAATTTCAGTTGCCTCTTTTACGTCTACAACGTGAGACGGTCACGTTTAGTGCAAAGACGTGCCGCTTGAACCTTCAGAGTCTCAGTGAACCCCTGACATGGGAGGGTATCGTGCCTGCCCCTACCACCTACCGGGCCGAGCAGGCGTACCTGAACTGGCATTCACTGCACAGGAGTTCAGCGGTGGTACGGCAAGCGGTGCGAGATGTGTTTAACCTGCTACCACAGAATGAGGATGGGTTGATAACAAAGACCACATATGTTGAATTCTTTTTGGACCTTCTCAACCTTTTTTTTCCTATGCATATTTCCTCCGCCAATATTTCCATTGCGGAGGAGGAGTGGGTATACCGGGGGACAACTGAATTGATGAGGTTTGAGACATTTTATGAGAAATTCTTTAGTTTCCCGTTTATATTTTTTCGTGATCTCAGCAAAGTGACGAGGGATCAGTATGTGGAGGTGTGGTGTCTGATTCGTGTCTGTTTGTTAGAGAATGAAGTGTCTGTCCTCTCCTGCTTGCAGGATACGGCGGTGTTGGGGCCACCGAATAGTGTGACAAGTGGCGGACTCTCTTTCAATACTTTGTCGCCCGCCGCCAATCCCTCGGCTCCACGCCCCGTCGTCGACTACAGTCGTACACGCCGACCGAAGCGGATATTGGAGGCGACATTGTGCTCCTTGCAGAAGCTGAAGGACTTAGGGCGGAAGAAAGCCCCGCCTCTCATTGGTAAAATTTTGGGTGTTTCATATGATGATATTCTACGACTAGGGGGGACGAGATTCCACAACACAGACAACTATCCGCTACATAGCGCAAAGCAATTGGCGGCGGTGATGGTGAAGGAGAATCTGCAGAAATTGATGCCCTCTCACGCGATTGCGGTGGTGCATGCAAAGGGGAAGCAGCTGCTTGCCGAGACCTCACGGGCCAGGCGGCAGCAAGAACTACAGGAACAGTTGCCGAAGAAAGATAACCCGGGAAGGAGCATGGACAGTGAGTTCAGCAGCGTGCTTACCATTGCATCGTTAAGCAAAAACGAGAATGAAGGGGAAGAGACGGAGGGAAGCAGCGACTTGGTTATAATGAACCGCAGCAACTCTTTTAGGGGACGCTCCCTCGCAGAGAAACGGAGGAAAAAAATGATGGGGTGGAGTCACGTGACGACGGGGCGCCACGCGACATTGGAAAAAATTGAGGAGGCGCGGATGAAGAAGAAATTGATTGAAACGTCGGTGTTTTACCGTCATCGACGCCTGCGGCGAAATGCGGAGCACGCGAAGATCTTGTCGCATATCTCTCGCAGCCACACCGCATGGGAGGTTTGCCGGCATGACATCTATGAAATTCCCCCCGAGAAGCCGGACGAGGAAGACAAACTGCTGGCATTTGTGCAGGACCTCCCAGACGACTTCTTTGATGATGAAAATTCTCTACGGGTGCGGTACGGCATTCACGCGGCTCTTCTTAAAGAACGTGCTGAACGCTCAAAAAATTGTTATCCCATTGAACCCGTGCTTTCCACGTCATCGATGACGATGGCGAGTTCACGTGACACACCGAAGGGAAACGAGCAGGACTCTCCCGCCACGTGCATGTATACTGCATTGACGGCCGATGATACGACGAATGGCAGTAGTCGTGGCGGTGCGGTTTCGTCTGTTCATGTCTTTAGGACAAGGCGACGTACCCCAAATGGGGAAGGAGCGAGCAGAATGTCAAATTCCCCCGGTTTGACATCGCTTGTTGGCGACGGATCATCCCCGTCTTCCTCTTGTAGGATGAACTCATCTTCAACCCCACCATCGTCGGCATCCAGTGGAACGATGCGAGGGGATCCACCGGAGGAGAGGAATGGCAGTCGTGAAAATGTCAGGGATATGGCTTCACTAGAGGAATGGTCGAAACGAAAGGAGGAGTTGGAACCAAAGCGAGCGTTCTATATTCGTTTGAATTTCAAACAAAATATGGATGTTAATTATAAAAAATTGCTGCAGAAAAAGCCACATCGTCTTTTTCCGCTTTCTATGCCCACCGCAAGGAAAGGGGCTCCCTCGACGGTTGTTAAAAGTCGTCTCCAGGAAGGACTCCGCCCGTCGGGAGCTCAACAGACATTTTGAGTATATCCCTCATATCTACACCTACATATGTATGTATGTCCGTATGATGCCTATATATTTAGGATGTTTTGTTTCTTGTTTCTTTTTTTTCTTTTTTTTTTTTTCCTGAAGAGTTCTTCCAAAGGGAAAGGGAAGGAGGGGAGGATGTTTGCATTCACTGAAGAAAAGATACTTTTTGTTTTGGGGCTGTGTTTTTCCTTTCTTTCTTTCTTTCATGTAGGCCATGTTTGTTGTGGAAGTTGACGGGGGGTTTATTATTATTTTCTCCTTTCTCTCCATTTTGTTATTATTTCCCCCTACCCCTACCCCTCCCTACCCTGTCGAGGTGTGGGTTTTTAGTTGTGGAGGAAGTAGCGGGTACTGTGGAAACTCATGTACGTCAAATATTACCGATGTATTGGCTTAAAGTAAATTTTCCTTCTCTATTTTGCTTTATTGTTATTATTGTTTTTATTTGTATGTGTCTTTTATGAGCGAAAGAGGGAGAAGGAGAAAGGGAGGGCGTTCTTGTTTGTTTTTTTTTTGTATGATTTGCTGCAATGCGAAGATTTGTGAATAGACGACGTCTGCGTGTGTTTTACTCCGCTGCTTTTTGTTATTGTTGTGTGTGCGTTTGGAATTGCGATGTCGCTTTGTTTCCTCTGTGGGAGCATCACTCACAACCATCTCTTCATCTCTCTCTCTCTTTCTTTCTTTCTAGATCTCCGTGTAGGATGACTGCTGGGGGCGGCGTTCTGACACCATCCAGTGCGGGGGCGCAAATTATCCACTTGGCCTCTCGCCTTGTTGTTGGCGTGAGGCTCCATGGCACCATCGCCGCTTTTCACCCTCGCACCCGCGGTCAACTGAAGTGCCGCCCGTTCCTTCGCTACTTTGCCGAGACGCTGCATCGACTCCGCTGCGACGTGACGCTGTTTGTCCCTGTCAACTCACGCACGGGGCCACAGCAGGTGGCGGAGCTCAGCACGCATGAATTTCCCTGCGAGTACCGCGTGGTGCATGATCCGACGTCAGGGGCTGTGGATGACTGTAGCAGGGGGCAGCGCAGGGGCGGAGGCGGTGCGTCGCGGGGGAACTTCCAGGACCTCCTCAACAGGGTGGCAACAGAACAGCAGACATCCCCAAGTCGCATCTTATTTATCGAATCCGAGATCAACTACCGCTTCAGCCCCGTGCAGACGCTTGTTGTGGAGGCGTTCCAGGCACATCGCATTCGTCAACGCCGGCGGTCAATGGGGGAAGCGGCGGAGGCGGAAGAACGACGCCAGGCGGGAGAACATCACGCGGCACTGTTAGAGTCGGAGTATTCATGGACGCAGGGAGGGCGTGTGTCACGACTGCGTCATGCGCAGCCCTCGGCACCGTTTTCTGCCGAGTTACACGGTGATCCACAGGAGGAAGCGAAGAAGGACGATGTACGTTCGGCGGCTCTTGCCATTAACCGGGAGGACTACACGCTGGTGGCACTAGCTGGGATGCTGGTCGAACTTGCAGCAGCGGATGTTGCCGTCGCGGATTATTTGCGCGTGGAGCCACTGGTTGAGAAGCTTACGGTGCCCTTTCACGGGGAGGTGAATTATCTCCCAATGGAGAACTGTGACGACATGGAGTTGTGGGACTGGGCCGCCGTGGAGGTCCGAGAGGCGAGGAGGAAGGAAGAGGCAGAGACGGCCGTACCGGAGGTGGAAGAACGGGAGGAGCACCGTGATCTATTCAAATGAAGCAGGAGGCCGGTACAAGTATATATTTATAATTTGATGATTATTATTTCCTCTCTTTCTTCTGTATTTATATGTCTTTACGGATGCAATTGCACTCTTTATATTTTTCTTTGGGGAAGGAATTCTCAAAAAAAAACCAAAAAAAAGAAGAAAAAGGAAGACAAATACTACACACATTACACACACACAGAGAGAGAGAGAGAGACATTATTAGAAACAAGCAGACAAACAAAAGTGCGAAATAAAATAAAATAAAATAAAATCAGAAGAACAGGAAAGGAAAAAGGAAAAAGGAAACAACTCCCCACAAGAAGGGAAGCAAAGGCGAGGTCAATATTGCGATACTTCCCCCCCATCCCCCTGTTTATATATTTATATTTATATATAAACCTCATTGTTACTGCTTTTATTATTACCATTCATTAGAGAGAGAGAGAGAGAAAGACAGAAAGAAAGAAAGAGGTTGCAGCAGAGCAGTCTCCGTAACAATTGCGAAAAAGGAAAAGAGAAAAAAGAAAAAAAAAAAGGAAAGAAACATTGTATTACAACAAGAGAGAAAAAATAAGTAAATAAACGATGAGCATATCGTTGATGACAATTGCCAATACACTTTCTTCGGAATGCACGTATTATGCGGGTGACCCGGACCTCTTGAAGAGTGAGCGATATGCGGAACGCATCTCTAAAATGCTGCAGTCAGAGAAGGCAGACCTTCTTGCCGCACGCGTCGCCATTCACGCTCAGCTGCGGGATGCCTTCAAGGACGACAGTGTACAGAAGCTGTTGAAGCCATATCTTCGTGAAGATGAAACCTTCCAGGCGTTGATTGACGACGCCAAGAGTCGCGCCAAATTCTTCTCGCGGAAACAGCAGGAGCTGCAGGCAGCTGTGATGGCAAGTGAGGAACAGGTGGCGCTGCGAGATGCACATCGCGAGTTGGCCGCATGGGAGCGTGAGAACGCGGTACTCTTACGGCACCAAATGTTCATGTCCTACAAACCCGCCATGTCACTTCTTCTTGAGAGCGCCGCTACTGTGGCCTTGTACCGTCAGTACGCCGCCCTTGAGGACGGGGGTGACACGAGTGAAAGCAGCAGCGGAGAGGTGCCTGAGCAGCTGGTAAAAATGGGTGGCGTGCCACTTTTCACCACACAAGCCCCGAACAAGGAGTTTGAGGTGGATGAGCACACAAAGATGTTTTCCCAGCAGGTACTGCAGAACAAGCGGGTAGAGTATGAGGAGAAACGGGCGTTGGTGGTGAAACAACGAAAACGCCTGGAGGATTGTCCTTCCCTGCAACGCCTACATGACTTTATTAACACTCGTAACGATATTTTTCGTAAATATGGTATTGACCTGCTTGTATCCCTCCGTGTACGCCGGGACAAGGCACTTGCCGAGCCATTTGAAGGGGGCGAGGATGCAACCGTGTCTGGATTGCCCCATACAAACGAGATTATGAAAAGCCGCCGTGTGGCACAATATTCACTCGCCAAGATTGTAGAGCAGTGTCATCAGAATTATCTCAGCATCCTCATCACGGAGGATCTGGATGCCTTGATGCGGAGTACAGGTCTTGAAAATCGTGAGGCGCTACAGGGCCTGAAGCCTTTGAAGGATATGGAGACATTCCGCTACTGGTTACTGGCAAGCATCACCGCGGATACGCCGCAGATTGGACCAAATAAGCTTGTAGGAAAAAATCCCACTCCCGTCGATGAGTACAAGAAGCTTTGGCAACCGCAAAAGTCCAGTTATGTACCCTCATTGAATACATCTCACAGACAGCAGTTTAAAATTATGGCGGAGCGACGTGGATTTCCCCACATTATCATCCTTTCCCCCGTTACCTACACCTACATGCAAAACAATGATCCCAAAACGATTATGAAAGGGGAACTGGACTTGATGGTATATGACCAGACCAACGAAAAGGTCCTATTGATGATTGCCAATTCGAAGGATGAACGTCGTCCACGGGGTGCTTTCCTTCTTGGGCAGGAAGAACGATATCGTTTTGCCGCCGTGATTCGTGCTGCCATTGCAAATGATAATGAGTTATTTGACTTTCAGTGTCAAGGGACGCTAGCGGAGTACTTTTTTGATACGGAAGCCGGATCTGAGGAAAATTATTACTGCATTATGGCCCCGTTTAAGGTCTCTCAGAAGGTTTCACCCGTTATTCACGTGCCCGTGTCTGCTCTGCGTCCCTTCGCCACCTGTCCGCCACGTTACTTTCTTCTGGGTTCAAACTGGGGCGCCAGCTCGGGCAATGCGAAGAATCCATATGCCATTTCCCATGTTCACTCGGAGTTAAATGAGGACGCCATTGTTCTGCAACAAAATATCTCCGAGGGGTTCATCCAAAAAAATGTGATGCCGCACCTTATTACGCGCAGTGAGGGAATTGAGATTATGAAACGGGAACGGGAGCAGAGGGCACGTGAGCAACGCGAGTCCATGTCTGCACGATCGGGGACACTTTTATCCTCCGCACGTGGCACCCGCTCGTTGGGGCAGACCCCACGCGACAGTGCTCGTACCCCGCGTCACACGACGACATACCCCAGTGATGTCGCCTCCACTCCGTTGGAGGAGGCTGAGAGGGAGGACGGCATTCTTCCCGAAGAGGAAGACCCACTCGCCCCTGAACTCCCGGGAGATGTGTTGCGACCTGTGAGAGAGGCATTGCTGAACAGGCGCTTCTTGCAACCTGGATATCTTCAGCGCCGCTTGAAGGACCAGGAGATCAAGAAGCTGCCGGCGGTGAAGGACGGCCGACTGCGCACCCCACTCATGGTGTTTCATGAAATAATGAAAGTAAAACACGGGGAGGAGGAACCGCCTCTCAGTCAACCACAAAGTGCACGTGGCCGATTGAACAGCATCAGCGGCAATAACAATAATAATAGTAACAACGGCAACAAATGCAGCCCGAGAACCGCCGTGCGCAATTCCCTTAGTTTCTCTTGAACGCAAAAGTAGGTGATGGTGGTGAGTGGGTATTGGCACAGGAGAGGGAAATATTTGGGAACTCCGATGGTAATGATGCAGGGGAAATAATGTTTGTTGGGGGAGGGGATGTCATTGCGCATGCAGTGGAAAGGAGACAATGACTGCCTCCACCCGGAGAATCAAAAACACATTTTTATTTATTATTTATTTATTTAAACTTGTTTCGGTGTGTATGTGGGGGGTGGATGCATGGAAATGTTTTTTGTTTGTTGTTGTTTTCAAAAGAAATGAGCACGCACCCAACAACCAACAACATGAAAATAA